CCTCTCTTTTTGCTTGGCAAAAAGTGGGATTAATTTTTGTTCTCCCTCCCAAAATTTTCAAAGCTCCCAGCTTGACAGAAAAGACCCCTTTAAAGGCAGAGGACAAACTGGAGGGCGGGAGTTCTTTCTGACCCTGCTAAGTTTTTTTGCTCGGGGCCTTTCAAAATCTAGTTTCTCTACCCCCCCGCCCGGTTTCTTTTAGGAAAGTGCTCAATCAAGGTCGGGCTGGTGGAGGAAGGAAAGCTCAGTGGCCGCAGAAGCCACGCCAACTGCCCTTGCCATCCAATCTGGCTTACTGGCGCGCTCCAGCAAAAAGCGAGGGAGCTTTCAAACCCGCCCTGAGCTCTTTAGAAATGGAGCCCGCCGGGCGCGCTGGACTCCGCGAGGCGGCCTCCAAGAAAGAGATGGGGTGGGGGGAGAGAAAAAGAAGGAACCGTCCCACAACCGGATCCAAGTTGTTTCCCCCTCCCATCGCAAAGGGGCACCCATTTTTTTTGCCCTCAGGGCTGCATTTTTGGAAAGGAAAAAAAAAGAGATAATTGGGGGCATTGGGGTGGAGAAAATGATCGCCCACCCCCAGAATGTTTTTTTTACCCGGTGCAGTAGATCAAGGATATGCTGGGGAGCGATGCAGGTTTTCCTGCAGGCACCCCCGGCCAAGACGCGGGAGGAAGCCGAGAGGCTTGTTCCGCTGGCGGGACTTTCTGCCCGAGTCAGTTTCTCAATCCGTGGCGATTGAGGCCGGGAGGGTTGTGGGTTTTTTGGGTTTTTTTGCATCGCTGCAGTCCCGTATTCCTTCTCTTCCCCCACCCCGCAGAACTGAGTACCCCTTATCGGCCAATCCATTCATTCGAGTCTCGTGGTCGTGGGGATCGGAGTCGAGCTTGCTTTATGAGCAATCCATGGAACACAAGCCACGGTTCTCCCTCAAAATAAGCCTCCAAAAAACCCCGGTACCTGAAGTAGCTGGTTTTCTAGCCGGCAAAAAGCGCTGCTTCCTTTCGCGCTTTCTTTCTTTTTTTCCCCCCCCCAATCAGTCAGCCTCCGTCTGCTCTGGGTGGAATCTCCTTTCCGGGCACTTTTAAAAGGTTTAAATCTGGTATCCAAAACCCGAAGAGCCAATTAGGAGGAGCTCTAGCCAAAGCCGGCAGCCAATCAACGAGAAGCGAGTGGCGGCGGCCAATGCCGGTTCGCGAGGTGTGCCTTGCCGTTGAAAGGGACTCCCTCCCTCCCCGCCCCCCTCCCATTTCTGCCCGCCAGCCTTCAGCTCCGGCCAAGGGATTTAAAAGACTGAGCGCGCGCGCGGGGAAAGGGGGAGGAAAAAAAGAAAAGAGGCCGGCTAGCGCGCGCTCCTGCCCTCTCTTGGGCGTGGTGGTGGGTGGTGTAGATTTAAGGCACCGCCGGAGCGCGGGAGATGCTGCGGCGCCTGCCCAGGAGTGCGACAAGGCTCGCGCGCTCTCCCTCTGTTCGGGGACGTTCTATTGGACGTAGCCCTTTGGGTGTCTCGTGCCCATCCCCCGGGTTCCTGAGACGACGAGCGCGGGGACGGGATGTGGCTACAGGGCGCGAAGGGGGGAAAAAAAAAAGAGAGAGAGAGAGCCTGTGGCCGGATTGTTAAGGCACCGATCCCATCTCTTTTCGGTCTTTTTTTTTTTTTTTCTAAACTGGCGGTTAAGGGAGAAAGTCGTTTATTCGGGCCGCCGCGATTCTTAGCACGTTTTCTAAAGTAACGCAACTTGGATGCAAGTTGGTCCTTTTTTAATTTTAATGTGGTAAGATGGAGCTACAGTCTATTCCGAATGGCACCTAATTTGGAAAGTATTCCCTGTAATATTCGAGGACCCCGTCCTATATATTTTACCCTAAACTTCCAAGAAAATTAATGCTTTTTTTAAAAAAAAAATTCGGGACGCAAGCTATGGTCATCCAAACAAAGCATTGGACCGAAAGTTCCTTGACCCTCCCCACAGTGACCCTGCGTTATCTTACTGTTTGCCAGTATTATTTGAGGAATCATGCTTTCTCATTCAATTATGTAGGCACGATTTGTGACTTTAGTACAAGAGTCTTCAAACTTGGCAAGTTTAAGACTTGTGGACTTCAACTCCCAGGATTCCTGAGCAAACATGACTGAAGGAGGAATTCTGGGAGTTGAAGTCCACAAGTCTTAAAGCTGTCAAGTTTGAAGACCCCTGCTTTAGAATGATGTACTTATTTCCCACAATTATTTACATCCTTCAAAGGAAGGGCATTGATCAGAAATGACCCTTTCACAGTAATAAGCGCACACGTAAAAAACTTCAAGATAGGATTTCCTTTGTTTTTACATTATATATTTTAAAAATCCAAGGCTATTTAAGAGCCCATGTAGAATATGTTATCAATGAAGATATCCCATCATATTTAGTAAAGTTAAACAGATATCCCGGAACTATGCTTCAACTTTTCATTAAAATTTCTTTGGAGATGACCTGGCAATACCATTAAGAGAGCTAATGCGTATGTATGTTTATTTCTGGTAGGTTAGTACTACAGTTAAATGTCTAATGGGAGAGGTTGCTGGGAAGCATTTGATCTTTTACAAGTAAGCTGTTTTCATCATTTACAACTACACTGCCCTGTTTATTTTTTTGTGCAAAAACAGGAGACAAAGTAAGACAACAAATAGAAGCATGGATGCAAACCTGAATCTGCCTCTGAATAAAGGTTGCATAGTCAAGGAATTTTTTCTGTTTTAATATTCAGAAAAATCCAATTCTCAAAAGACAATTCTCAATGTAATTTATTTCAAGTAAAAATTGTTACAAAATATACATTCCTTATAGTTTACACAGGGACTCCTTTTCTTAACATAGACTTTGACTTGCCTTTTACAACTAAATGGAAAAGGAGAGCTGAGAGCAAAATTCATTACTAGCACTAATGATGTTATCTAATTTGGGTAATGAAACATTTGTAGGAAAATGTTTCTGCCCACAAGGTCAGAAAGTACCTCAGAGTGTTTCCCCTCAAATGGAAAAAGAATTTGGAAAAAAAAGTTGCTGCTACTCAGGAGCACCCTTTTAAAAGATTTTAAAAAATGAAAGCCACTAGATCTGTAAAGTCCTGGATTCCCCCATCTTTGATGCAACACAGACAAAATCTATTATATGTAAGATAAGGAACCCCACCTATAATTATTAGCAAACAGTAAATTCTTAAGGGAAATGATTTCAATCAGGCTGACTGAGTGCAGGACATGTCCCAAAAATAATGTTCGAACTTTGCCCGATATATCCAAAGTAGTCTGGATAATTCACTTATACCCATCAATTTCTACCCTTTTCATTTATGTACTCGTGCAACATTGCAAAGACTTAATTAGATCACAACCTGGTTAAAATCTGGTTATTTCCATCAAGCACAGGAGGGTATGCTATGTTTGAAAATGTTAATTTGGCAGACAAGGTCTATGTTCATTTTTTGTACAATTTTGATACTATATTTAGTTTACTATTTGGAAGCTTACTGGTGTTTCTTACTGTTACTTGCCCAGAATGGACTGCCTAGAAATAAAACAAATACATAAACACTTCAACTGCACAGTTGACTATGAGCAAGTACTTGAAAACTGGCATATTCTCAGTTTTCCAACTTCTCACCATTATCCAAATATGGAAGCTATAACCCAGTTTTTAGAATTTGGCTTCTTGGTGTGTTAGTGATTTGGGTTATTGTTTCTTGGCTGCCTGAATTTTTAATGTTTATAATGTTTGCTATTGTTTTTGTTCTATTTTAATTCTGTTAACCAGAATTATAGATTCGCTGGAGTTACTCACTGAGATGGGCAGCTGTATAAATTAAATAAATAAATATATTTAACAGTTTCTACCTGAAACATTGATGCTTTTTCACAACAGTAATAACTTTCATGCCATTCAGAGTCACTGGAAATTAGGCAGCATATACATTTAATATACACATCAAAATCCTTCAAAAACAAAATAGAAAACAGACAAACTTAGCCATTTAGTCTCAGCATGCTTTTAGCCTTGCCCATTTGACTTCTGCTTGTTGCTCTAGGTGCCAGTATGCTTCTGGATGCAATTCAGAGTGCTACCGTAGTTATCACCTATAAAACCCTACATGGCATGGGCCTGGTTGTTTGAGACTGCCTATTTCTTGTGGTTTCTGCCCAGTCAGTAAGATCCAACAGAGTGGGCAAGCTCCAGGTCCCTTTGATCACTGTCATTTTTTAGGACCTGGGAAGCATAGCTTCTCTTGTGGCACCTGTTCTGTGGAATTAGGTCCCCCTAAACTTATGGACAGCTTGTATCACGGCATTTAGGAATGCCTTAAATACCTGACTTCTCCCAGGCCAAGGGGTAGGGTGCATTCAACCCCCTTGTTAGAGGTAATCAGTATTTGTTGTTTGGGTGTTAAGCAGCACCAAAATAAATTGATATATGGGATTGTAAATCAATTCTGTGCAAGCAAACATACGCAGTGAACTAGTTTGAAAGCACTTTCCTACCTATGGTCTAGGATTTGATGAAGGTCATTTTGGTCTGCTTGCATCATTTTCTGAAATAACTTCCATTAACACCTCATATTCACTGTATCTTCTTAGAGACTCTATCATTTCATCTAGCAGTTCTTCTCCCAGCATGAATCTTTGGATGTGATGTACTGACTTGCCTATTCTATGGTCAGTAACCCGATCCTGGGGAAAATTGTAAGTTCTGATTTTCTCTGATCTTCCTTTGGTCCCAATCTAAACAGGGGGAAAAATTAATCAGTAAAGTTTTTACATGTCTGGAAAGTTTAGTATTTGGGAAATGTTCCCAATCCAACAAAAGGTATGCATTTGTGTATCCATGAAAAAAGTAAATCATCAATATATACAGCCCTTTACAAAGTGAATATAAGCAAAAACTACACGAAACATAAATACACTGTTCTGAAGAGCTTCCAGTCTAAACTGCTCAAGAAAGGGACAGGAAATTTGGAGGAAGGTTAGTGAACTTTTGTTAAATTTACCCATAGAGGGAAATTATTTTAAGCATGACAAACTTGCATAATACCTCTTTTACATATCTCCATCTAAACATGCTTTTTCTCAGTCAGGGAGAAATTTTGAATAAAGTGGATAGGAAAAGAGAAAAAAGTAAAGAATTCAAGACAAAACAATTATCCTCCCTCAAAATGTCTTGGGCCACAATTTTCATGATTACACAGCTTCTTGGCTGGAAATTTTGAAAGACCAACAGACAGAGGGCACCAATTTGGCAGAATGCTGTTCTACATAACTACATCTTCTTTCCTCCTACCAATGCTCAGTAACATTTCAGGATTCACACTGCGTCACTTGTATTTCAACTATATCCAAATTATAATCCAGGTCTTTTCAACCTGAGCTGGTTTAGCCAACACCACAACAAAATGGCTTGTTAACAAAGCAGTCTGCTGGTGTCTGCTATTTAGATCATGCTCACTGAGGTTCTTTGACAAGGTACAGCAAATAAATCATGGATGGTATTGTCAACTATTTTTTATTTCTTTTATGATGTTAGCAAAAACAGTTTTTCTCACCAGTTCTGATTTTTCTTTGTAACTGAGGCTTCAGTGAAACAATGTGTATCAGTGCACTGCTGATTTGCTTTCAGAAAAATCTGGTAGTGTCAGGTGCAAGGAACCAGAATGACACAATGAGCTGAATCTACAAGAATCTCCCTAGACTAACTGCAATCTCTTGAGAACAACCAGACAAGCACTTCAGATAGATAGATAGATAGATAGATAGATAGATAGATAGATAGATAGATAGATAGATAGATAGATAGATAGATGGATGGATGGATGGATGGATGGATGGATGGATGGATGGATGGATGGATGGATGGATGGATGGATGGATGTTTGGGGGAGGGAGGATGGTCAAGTTTCCATTGCTTTCTTTTCTGCAAAGACTCCAAGCTAGCCAGTCTTAACTCCATCCCTCACCTCAGCTGCAAATTCAGCCATAGTTATTACAGCAGAACATCCTTAGATCTGAAGAACAATGCAGCACATTTTACCTGAATCTTTCTGGCAGTATGTATCTTTGCTGTTTGTTCTTCAAGTTTGATGCTATATAGTTTAGCTTGAAGAAGCTCCATAGCTTTTTCTTTATTTCTAATTTGAGATCTTTCTTGTTGACATTCAGATACTATACCTACAACAGAGGAGATGTAGAAGTTAGGCAAAAACAAAAAACAAACAGAAGCATGTAAAGTACAACAATGTATGTTATATTTTAAGATATAATTAGTACAGAAGAGTACTTCGCATTTTTAGTTAAATGATACAACTGAATTATTATGCTCTATTTTTAAATTTAAGAATAGGATGCCAGAATTTGGAAACAAATATGCTATTGAACTGTAGCAAAATCAGCACAAGTCTTGACTGGAATGACAAATTTTGTTATATATTTTTATTTATGTGCTTTATATTCTACCAGAAGCCAACGATCTTTTTATGGGTTTTTTTGTAAGTTTGTATGCAGTGAAAGATATAATGTACTAGACCTCATTAGTTCTAAGAAAATGAATATAGTAATAGAGGTACAAGTAAAAAAAGAGAAAGTTTGAAAGAGATTATTGAGGGAAGGCTGCAAATAAAATGTACTGGGCTGCATTGTTAGCAATGTATAATCTCATTTCACATAATATATGTATAGTATGTATGCAAAATTAGCATTCTCTAATTTATACATTACATCATCCTTTCCAAAGCAAGAACATTTTTCATATTTTTTTTTTCTTCAGTGTTCCCCAGTCTTAACTGTAACACTGAAAAAACAGACTCCAGGTCATGTACTTCCACAACTTCAGAGTGAGAATTCACTAGAGCTTATCTTGGTTGGCTAGCTTTTATCTTACGCTACAGTGCTGAAATTTTCTGTATCCCATAACATCCTCAGCCCAAATTGTAGACAACACTTATAGCTAAGATTTTCTATAAAGCATGTATCTTGTTACTGAGCATCATCATATAAAACATGAGACCATTAAAAAAAAAGTCCACTCATTTGAAAGTCATGTTCCAATACCTGTGGGAATATGAACTATCCGTACGGCACTATCAGTAGTATTCACATGCTGGCCACCGGCTCCACTGGCTCTTTTAGTTTCAATACATAAGTCTTTAGGATTAATTGTGAGAGTTATCTAGAACAGGAAAGAGACACTTTGCTTATTCTCTAACAGACTATTTGCAAATTATCCCAAATTCAACAAAATTTATAAATTATTTATGCTGTAAGATTTTGTGATTTTATTAATGCTGCTAATTAGCCTTCATGTTCTAAATAGATAGGAAAAAAAGTGTAATTGAATGGAATTCTCTTATCTGAATGCAGAAGGTTGGTCCAAATACTTACAGTAACTGCCTACCTCATTTGGCTGTGGTAATATTGCTACAGTCATTGTGCTGGTATGAATGCGGCCTTGCTTCTCAGTCTTTGGCACGCGTTGAACACGATGTACTCCTCCTTCAAACTTCAATTGTCCATATGCTTCAAGGCCTTTTATACTGGCAGATGCATGTCTTAAACCACCTTGATTAAAAAAAAACAATAAAAGCAATCACAAAGTATACGTCTCTAGAAAAAAGATTATTCAAAAGTTCAGAAACACCTGAACCTGTCTGCTTGCCTGTCTATCTACCTATCGTGTGTGTTCATGAGTGTCTGCTGTTGAGCTATGATCCACCTAATTGCAGTTTATTGGAGGTCTATATCTTACAATGGTGTGCAGGGCATGCAGTTGTAGGCATTCATGAAGAAAGAATAGATTTTTCATGTAGCTTTATGTGTCCCATTTGCATGTCTCCCATTTGCCTGACCTCTGACATACAATGGCCTTACATGGATCTAGTATTTTGTTTATTTCCCTTATTGTATTTTTATTGTGCTTTGTTTGTGTTGTACTTATATTGTGAGCTACCTGGAGAAAGGCAGTGTCAAAGTAAAATAAAAATATGCCACTACATGAGATACCTCTAGAATTCTTAAGACTCTTAAGCTCTCTAAAACAACTGCACTGAAATAATATGATTCTCCATCTTAGGGGAGGATACTGAAGATGAGAATCTTCACTCTCTGTTACATACTATAGAGTTGGAAATTACTTTTGTAATCTCAAGACAACTCGCTGATAGGACTGAAAGTACATGCCAGAATTTCAAAAGATTACTTGCCTATAACACTGGAAGTATATGTCAGAGTATCAAAAGTCCAATTTTTATATGCCGCATACTGTTGATACATATCAAACATCTCAGCAGTGAACAACATTGCTTCCAGCCCTCCAACTCCAGAAGTCACTTCTATGACAAGATCATTTTTGTCAGTTTCCGCTGAAGGAATCAAAAGTGATACTATCTGAAATACATAAAAAGACATTTTTTATTTAAGTAAAATTTCCTTCAGCAAGGAATGCTGCCTGGAATGGGCTGAAATAAAAAAAGTAGTACACATATTTTAATCATTATGTAATGTATTAAAATTGTTAAAAATATTTTTCCCTAATTCCAATGGATACATCTACCATAAAGTTGGTTAGTCTTAGTTGACAAATTAATTTAGACGACTTAAGTGTACATAAGATTCAACATCAAATTTCTACCAATTCACTGAAACTGTAGAATGGTAATGAAACATCTTCAAGAAACCAACTAAGCTCGGAAAGCATCAATAACAGTTCACTCCTAAACCATACATATTCTCTTTTATTAATAACAAAAATTCTTCCAGATTCATGGGATTCCTCCCTGAAACTAAATCCTGAAAAGAACCAAAATTCAGCAGTGGGGGGCGGGAAGCGGTGGGGAGGACATGAAATGAGGCAGCAGAGGAAGACTGCCAAATAATAGCATTTGACAGTACATTATCAAAATAGAAGCTAGTTAGTCTTGTATTTAAATGTCACGCTTCAGTAAGTGATTTACCTGATGTCTCAATTCTTCTATCTCTTCCTCACAGGAAATAATTTCCTTTTCTGCAAGCTTCCGCAAGTCTTCATTTTCATCTAGAATAGGATTGCACACTATTATCATAATAGTATTAATCTTTTTTCTCTGGTTCATACTTTCTTTCCTGTCTCTTGGCTATTTAGTATTTTTAACGCTTCTCCTATTCAGATATCAACAAAAAATGTGAAAAGTAGACATCTAGTCCTCGACTTAACTACTCATTTAGTGACAGTTCAAACTTACAGTACCATTGAAAAAAGTGACTTATGACCATTTTTCATGCTTACGACCATTGCAGCATTCCCCATGATCATGTGATCAAAATTTGGAAGCTTGGTCTGATCCAGCTTCAGTCTTCCTAATCAGAAGAATGGCCCGAGTGGCAGCTCCAATGTGACAGAACGTGTCCTCAATAACAGGTAAGCTAACCACTTTGGAACCCCGCAGGCGAGTCCTTACTTTATACAAACACTTTTGGGAGCACCAATATATTTTCAGACATAGGCCACTAAGAAATATAGAAATATATAAAATATAGAATATTACATTAGAATGGAGAAATAAACTATCCTGGGGAGGGGTGGAGAAGAGCAAGATCTGCCATCAAAGACCACTGAAGACCAAGAATATCATTAAGTGTTGTACATTATGATTCTTGATTCTTAACGAATGTACTTTTTCTTTATGTATACTGAGAGTATTGACACCAAGACAAATTCCTTGTGTGTCCAACCACATTTGGCCAATAAAGTATTCTATTCTATTCTATTCTATTCTATTCTATTCTATTCTATTCTATTCTATTCTATTCTATTCT